TCTGTGTCTATGCAGACCTCCTTGCGATGGAAAGTTCTCCACCCTGGCACAGCAAGGTAGAGGCCCTGAAGGAGAGGTGAACCCGATTACAGGAGATGCTGTCCCAGCCCGGACAGGGAGTCTGTGACCCTGACAACTGGAGATAGAGGGCCAGGGGGACAGGACCAGAGGCAGGGCAAAGCACACAAGCAGCACAGGAGACACTGGGCTCTCGATTCCCCTGTGAGCAACCATTAAGCTGTGCTGCTGCAAACCTGCGCCAAGCATGTTATTTTGAGCTCAGCCGCCTTCAGGTTGTTTTCTGCTTCACCGGGCACTCACAGGTTCCTCCTGGAGAGCTGACTTGCTGCCCTCCTGTCCTGCCCCTGCCCCGCTGCCCCTCCTTTCCCCTCTCACCCCATCTCACAGTAATAACCATCAGTTTTTAACAGCATGTCCTACATGGGAGGTTTTGTAGTTCCAGCTTTTAAAATGATTTAGTGTGACAGTTTAGTGCTGAATTTAAAATAAAAAAAAAAAAGGAAGAGAAGCAGCAGAGAGAAAAAGGAGAGACAGTCCCCTTAAGGCAACAACATTACGGAGCAGCGATCTCAGAGGAACAAGGGTTCTTCTCTGGTTCAGATGTGCTTGTCAGGGCTCGGTGTCGTCTCTGAACAAGAAATCTCTCTTGCTGGCCCAAGGCACAGTTTTGTGGTCAAGAGGACAGAAAATAAAGGGAGGGAACTTCAAAGAACCATAAGCTGCATTAGCCCGCTGGGGCGGGTGGCTGCGGCACATCCCGTGGCTGACAATTACGACCTGCACACCGAGAAAGCTTGCCTCCCTCTTGTCAGAGGGATAAGACACAGGCTGTGAGCTTTAGAGCTTTGAGGATGTGTACAGTTCATGATGAAAGATAGCACTTCAAAGCCCTCTGCCTAGAAACCCAGGGAGAAGCAAGAGTGGAGGGTAAGCAATCTTTTTTTCCTGGGGGGTGCATATGTGGGGGAAGGATAAGACTTATTTTCACTGTCATTTATTACTGCTATGAAAATGAAGCCTTGCACTGTTTATGGAATCTCTCATTAAAAGGATCTCTTGATAAATCGCTTGATAAACATTTGTTAATTAAGTCTCTCAGTGCACTTGGCTGACAAGCATTAGTCTTCATTTTGCAGGAGGGGGAAATCAAGGCATGGAGCTCAGCGATCCCCAAGCAGCCCGGGGCAGAGTTGGGTCCCGGCCAGTCGCTCCGTGCCACCAGCTGGACGGATTACGCTGCTCCCTCTGTGTCCAGCTTGATTTTGATCCAAAGATAGGAGCAATGAATCAGATTCAACAAACTTCAAAGCTCTTGTCCCCTCACTGCTGCCCAATGTCCCCTGGGACTGGCTCCTCCGTGGGCATCTCGGCTGATGCCCTGGGGGCTCCTGGACACCCCTTTTATCTCGCAGGCGGCACCTCCACACCCACGGCTGCCCGGGGTTATGAATGGAGACACCTTAGCTGCTGCCCAGCCTCCACTTACTCTGCAATGGAGTTTTCCTCGTCCTTGGCCAATGCTAAAGCCATTTGGGAAACATCTACTTTAACACACCTGCTTCACCCTAACCCCAACAGTGGTCCTGGGTTCAAATGCTGGGTGCTCAGCAGGTCTCCCAGGCCGCAGCTGCAAGGTTATTGTGGTAGAAAAGGCACCACCTCTCCCGCTTTCCCTGGCATACAGCAAGTCTGGAGCAAGGAGAGTTAGGAGAAGGCTCAACGGCCCCCAGCCAGACCCATCAGGGAAGCCCACTGCAGGAGGGAGCTAGCAGCAGGAACGCAACACTCAAGTCCTTAAAATACAAACTATCCTACCCCACACACTCTTAAAAATATCGTCACAGCAGGCAGGCGGAGGTCCTTCCAGTGACTCGGGGGTGAACGTTCCTCTAACCTCCCCAGACGGACAACGCGCCCGCCCTCCTACCAACCACCAGCACTCCCCCCGCCTCATCCACCCACTTGGAGACGGACGGATCCGGCTTTCGCTTATGCCTCCCCTGCCCTGCATGGCACTTGCCCTTCAGAAAAAGCTGGGAGATTCCTGTGAGAAAGGAGCTGCATGAGAGAGCAAACAGACCTTTATTATTTGTTTATCGATTTATTCACCAGGAGGATGTAACAACCAGCTCTCTGCAGCAAATGCCCTTGTAACTCCGTGCTGCAGCGACAAGTTGGCTAAACAAATGCTTTTCTGCGTCAGAAAACAAAGACCTGTCAGCACAGCAGATCAGGGATTCTCTGCTTTTACTTTTAATTATTATTTCCTTACACAGAGGATTTAATCTCCTCTTCTCCTGGAAGCTCAAAGTGCCCCATTCAGCCTATTTCACAGCTGTGACTACCGAGGTCACCCCGGGTCAGGACACCTCTCTCCGCCGCACAATAGCGACCGGTCCCCGAAGTGGACATCTACGCCATGCATCTGTTGTTGCAGATGAACTGGTGTCAAAAGGAGAAGCACCACCGCCTCTGCGGCCCCAGCAGGGAGGGGGCGAAGACAAACGTCACCCAGAGAGCCCCAGACAAAAGATGCTGCCCCTCAGGCCTTTTGTGGAGCTGTGAAATATGGTCAAAGGTTACGTTTTACAGCTGTTCCAGCCTCAAATAAGCGAAACCCGTCTATCTTAATACTTAATTGCATTGCTAAGCTGCTGATAAACTAGGATGGCATGAAACAAATACGCAGGGCCAAACACATCCCCAGGGAAAGTTTGTGGGAACAGGGGGAGTTGCACCAGACAATGAATCCACTTTATTGTGTTTTAAAAGCCTGGTTACCTTCAATAAAAGCTGTAGCTTGGATGCTGCAGATTTGCTAGTTAATATCTCTCCAAAAAGGCCGCAAGTGCTTACAAAAGAAGGGCACAGCGCAAATGCCCACGGGAGAGGACGAGCACGTGCCGTGCCGCGCGTGTGCCCATCAGGAAACCGTGTTGAGCTAACCCCCTCCCCGCGCAGCCACCACGGCTCCAGCCCTGGAGAACACGGGCCTTAAATCAACGCTCTTATCTCACAAAAGGAATTTAAGCGCAGTGCTTTGAAAGTCACTTTCTCCCGGCCATATGGCATCACCGAGCCTGGTCGTGTTGGAGCAGCGTTCATTTGCATGTGCGAGAGACAAATCTGGCTCTTGCGTTGCGTGAGTGATAACAGGGTGAGGGGTAGAATTTAGTGCTGTTTGGGTTTCTGCATAAAATCTCGCCGAGGCAAATTTCTCTCACCTCTCCACGCAAGTGCCAAACGCTGAGGTAGCCCCCAGTAGAGCTTGCCTGCGATCGCAGCCCATGCCAATCAGCAAGGCTCCACCGGTACAGGGCCAGGGTAAAAGAGAAGTCCGAGACAAAAATCACGATCTGAACCCAAAGCTTCCTAAAGCTGGCAATGTCTACACCCACAGTAAACCAAACAGGAACAGTCTTAAGTTACAGGGATATAAACAGCAGTGAACACAAACTTCAAGACAGCAAATTCACAGGCATTCACACATTTAACTTCCTGATAGGGAGGTATTTTGAAAACTCATGTTGCTGAGCTGCTCTGTGATATGAAGGGGTGGGGGGATCTCAGGCTTCAGCACGAGGAGGAGCCAACAAAGCTGCTAACGCTTCAACATAAGCCTCTCCAGCAGATCTCTGTGCCATGCATTTATGCAGGATGGCAAGATTTTTGTTTTGCTGAGGCAGTGCCGTATGGGCAATCTGGTTTGCCTTATCAGCGAGCCAAGGCTGAGAGAAGAGAAATGCTCTTCCCCACCATTTATTTAAACTTCCCTCCTTCCCCCAGATAAAGCTGCATACTTTCATAAAAATATCTGCAAATGTAATAACATAATGGGCTTGTCATCGGTTTCCACATTTGGCATTGAAAATCTGCAAAGCTTGGAAAGAAAGAGAATTCCTAATACTTACCACTGCTAAAGAGTCCAGCTATAAACCGGGCCTGGATCCAGGTGATGGAGCACACAACCACCAAAACGCCTTTCCATGGCCAGCACCTACTCCTACACAACTGCAAATTATTCCTTTCTTGGCCCTCTTGAAATAATGCAAGAAGGTTATTTCATCACTTCTTATTAATGGGCCTCATCTCCCCTCTTTGGGGTATTTGCACGTCTCTAGTATTCATTATTGCTCTGAACTGCTTTTATTCTGCAGCTCAATGCTGGGAACCTGCAGAACAGCCACACGACCTGACAATTCATTCAGAGCCACACCACCAACCTCCTCGCATGATAAAGTGGAACCATTCCCAGTGCAATGCTTTCCATTATGTACCACACTTCGCCCTCTCCAAGGCTATTTCTTCAGTATTTTTGCCCAGTATCCGTCTCGGTGAGATTATCCCCGGGAACACACAAAACTGGAGTAGCCCTGTTTTACTGAGCCCTCAAAGGAGGGCTTGGCGTATTTAGAGATATGTCACTGTACCTCCCAAGGGGAATCTGAACCAGCGCAGTCTCTTAGCAACACCCAGTGCGTATCACAGGTAACTCTCAATTAATAGGAATAGTGGGAGCTGCGAGCCGAAACCCTGCGACGCGCTGAGCACCTTCCACCTCGTTTTGGAGAACATACAGCCTCAAACGCTCTGTGCGCACTGGCAGGAGAGGGATGCGCAAGCCCTTGTAAGGATAATACAGAAAACACTGAAATATTGATTTGTTTAAAAGAAATGAGGATTTGATTGTATTAGAGGGAAAAGCATACCCCCTACAGTAACGGCTGACTTCTTCTTTGTCAGTAATCCCTCTCCCTAAGACATTTGTTACAAATCTGACTGGTAGGGAAGAAGTCCCACCCCACACTGAGACAATGCAGCTCTAAATTTTAGCTTAATCATCACAAGATCTTTATGACAATGTGTGTGGCAAAATTAAAGGCGCTGGCAAAACCGATGTCCTGCTATTCACACAATATGGATTCACAACTCAAATCTCTTGCTCTAAGATAAGGAAAGCATTTCTGCAGATCACTTACCTTTATTTGCTGCAGGGGAGAACAGCTTCTCAGAGCCTACAGAAGCCTGAAAAAGAAAGAGAAAAAGAGGGTGAGTAATACTAAAGGAGAATTTAGGGAGGCTTGTTCACAAAAACATAGCTCATAAAACAAGTTGGTTATCTGTAGACCTGCAATTACACATTGCACCTGGAGGGTGCAATGTTGTGCCATTAAAAAATAAGCATGCATCCTAAGAAGATGAAAGCAAAGCGTATACAAGTACTGTCCTGATCTCACCCAGCTATATCCTCCTGTCTCGTTTATTTAGGCAGCCATGCAATGCACAGCTATTTTATCCATGATTCCTCATATAAAAACAAAACCAGTGAAACTGCTATCAAGCTGAATAAAAAAAAAAAAATTCAAAGCCTCTCTCATTGAAAATAAGCTCATTTCTTGCTGAACATGCAAAATGTAATTTGTGTACTGGAAACACAAGTTGCAACTGAACACATCTGTATGAAAGAGGGTGTTATTTAATATTATGCCAAATGATAGGTACATGCTGCTATGCACTTAGTTGAGTATGAAATAAAACGACTTCCTCTTGGAAGAAGCCGGTCTCCTTGCAAACTGGGTTGCACTATGCCGTTTGAACTCCACAGCAGTGTGTTTGTGCTCCTCACAGCTCTGGGAAATAGTTAAAGAAATCCAATTAACCTAAACCTTGTAAACAGCTTCATGATAATCAGGGTCACTGGGTTACAGACAAGATGATAATGACATACAGGGAAAAAAAGTCCATTCATCGTAAATAAAGCTTTTATGAGTTAATTTGATGGCTTCCTTCCCTCCCCCCACTGATATCAAACAGTAAACCTATTTCAGCATAAGCTTTTCCTCCTCGCTATCTGATAAAATAGCAAGTAGCCTCTACAGAATCAAAGCTGGTCTGGGAGCAGGGAGCATGATCAACATTACTACCGTATAGCTGAAAATATCATCAACGTTTTGGCACTGACTGCTGCACGAATAAAATGGGGTGAAGTACAAAGCTGAAGAGCAAAAGATATTGAAAGTGAAAAAAGCCTTTCTCCCCTGGCTCTGCTTTAAAAACAATGAATTAATTCAACACGTGGCTGAACTAAGTTGATTTTCTTTTTGATTTTATTGATTTTATTCTAAGGTGTCTTGGGAGATTTGCATGATAAAGAGCACTATGAATTGTATTATTGTTATATATTTTAAATGATGACTCAGAAGGAAAAAAACAAATAGTAAAATGCAAGAAGATCTGCATGAGATATAGTAAGAAGCAAGAAAGAGTGATCTATTAATGTTATTTCTAAGGAAAGTGGCACTGCAAGCACTGAATGTCTTACTTAATGCAAATGCATAAAAAAGAGAGGGAAAACAACATGAAAAATAGGTTGAGGCTGAGACACGTAAGAAAGAAATTCTGAATCATGTCCACGACAAAGCTGCACGTGTAGCTGTGGCATGTATGATCGTTACACAGCTCAGCAAAAGGATCCTAAAATCTTAGGGAAAATTAGTTACCTGCACGATCCCTTCACTGCATGGATTAAAGAGAGGAAGAACCAGGATTAAACAAGGTTTTGCCTAGGCTGGTTTGCAAAGAAAGTGTAACAGCGTCACACAGCAGCAACAACAGTGGTGCATAAAACGTTTGACAGCCAACTCTGAATTTACAACCCATTGTTAAGAGATTTTTCACTTATAATCAACACAAAGTCACCACGGATGCAGAACACATCTGCAGGCTCTGGGAACTCACCCATACTAGCAGCTTACACAAAGCCAGGACCTAGCCTCAAAGCACTCCAGAAGCACTAGGACACGTGGCAGGTGGATAAGTAAGATTCCCTCATTTTATAGGCAATGAAACTTTGGCGTGGCTCACACTAAAGCCAAAGCAGTAAATTGGCAGCTGAGCCACAAATCCTAAGTGCCGGTTTCTGATGTCGGGGTGCGGGATGTGCAGCCCACGAGAGGAGCCCGTTCGCCGGCAGCCTGCTCGGGAGAGCTGCCCTTCCTGGGGTGCTGTCCGGAGCAAGCTGCCAGCAGCAGCACCCGCTGCGGCAGCAGCAGCCACCCCAGCTGGGAGAAGCTTTATGCTTCGCCTGGTCTGGAAAGTTGGGTCCTGCTGACACCGCTTTATGGCAACCACCAGCTCACTCCCTTCTGCGTTATTCAGTACCAAGGATTTAATATAGACTGGCACTGTTTAATCATGAGCTAAAGATCTCAGTGCTACAGGTCCAGACTATATAAAAACAACGTTAAAGGAAGTCAAGCAAGAAAATTCACTTTTAAGAGAAAGTACAACACACGGATTATTGCTCAGTCTTCTGATATCAGTATGTGGCACCGCCTTCAACAATCAGAGTCAACATTTACCGAGCAGCGTTTTCAACATCACAGCCACAGTTTACAGACACAAACCTTCACACCTAGAGTTTACAGTAACTTTTGCTCTCACTTCTGGTGATTTCTAGCTCCAGATCTGAGCAGTTTTTGGCATGAGCACTATTCTGAAACAGTGAATGCCTGTGCTATAGGATATTCTGCGAGCTGCTGTAAAGGCAGGAGGGAAGCTGGGGGAGGAAGAGCCTGAATACATCATTCAATTCCATCAGTCACCCTTTAAAGGAAGCATACAATAAAACCTATGTGTCTGAGGGAGCCCACTAATGAGTGAAAAAATCCAGCAGACCAATGCATCTGCTAAAACAAGTCCCCTCCCAATTTTTCTGCTGTTTCAAGCAAATCATTTGCGTATGTTTAAGAAGGGATTTTAAAAAAAAAAAAAAAAAGTGGAATTCTTCCCTTGTGAGCAAAACCAGGCATTTGGAGGCCTTTATGCGGAAGGGTTTAAGCCATCCCAGGAAATCACACTTTTTTTGATTACAAAATGAAACTAGAAATTTCCTTTTTTTCCCCCCTCTCATTGCCTTCTGCCTGTCTCCATCTGAAGGACCACCTCGGGGACGAGGGCAGCTGGAGCAGCTCCGTGAACCCCTCAAGTCTTTCACTGCCCCCAAATTCCTTTTTGTTGCTCTGCATAAGGCAGAGACACATCCCCAGCCTGAAGCTCACAGCCAAAAGACACCTCTAGCCTTCCTTGTACCTTTGCTGCCCATCTCCCTCCCCCATGGAGCGCCGCAGCAGAGCCCAAGACAGGCGAGTTTTCATAAAAGCTGCTGCTTGCGAAGTCCCACCCTCACCCCCAGTAACAACCTTTGCATTTTAAGCTTATCTAACATCTATCCCAAAAGCAAAATACACACAAGTGATTTCAGAGAGCAGCACAGTTTCTGAGGTAGCCTCACACTGCTGAAACTTTTAAGACCCAGCACCCTTTCGATGACACGCTAAGATCTGCACCAAGCCTTGCAGGTCCCCCTTTGTGGTTTATTCAACAAAGTTAGCAATTCTCTGTCCCATTTTGATTTTCTTTCTTTTCTAGCATCTCCACCCAGTTTTGTGACAGTTTGAAACCAGGCTGAACACACTGCAGAGAAAAACAACATTTCTATCCTTTTCTGTTTTGCGAAGAGCAAGCAGAGGAGTGGTGCTCCAGTCCCTCATCCTTCCTCCCCTTGAACCTAGCACATATAAACACTGATTCAATTTTCAGCACTAAAAGCTTAGCAAAGGCAGCTTTCTCCTCCAAATATAAGGTGGTAACCACAAAGGATGTAGCACACCTTCTCCTCTGAAGGTGAACAGTGACGCATAATGAAGTCCATGCCTCATTCATCCTGGTTCCCACTAACCCAGGGCAGCTGAAAGGTGTAAGAGCTTTTACAGATTAATAATTTAATGATTATATATAACAGAGCAACATCATCTGACAGAGACAGCATTATAAACTATGTCAGGCCTCACAGTAATTTTTTTTTTTTCCCTTCCTTGCTCTGTAGCCTATAAAATGGCTAACTGGGAATAAAATGGTTCCTTATCTCCAACAACAGAAGCTCTGCGGATCTTCACGCAGTCTCCTGGAGCACAGAACGCCAGATCCAAGCCTGATACTTCAGGCGCCTGGTCACAAGACACTGGGAAGTTGCTAATAAGGCTGCAGTTCTGGTTCACAAGGAGCAAGGGCACATGGTGTTAGGGACCTGGAATGTCTGTTTTTTACAGGGCAAAAGCCAAGCGTTCCCTCCAAATTTGAGTCCAGTATGGTAGGCAGAAAGAAAAGGAGGCAGTAAAATACAGTTTACATTTTATTTCTGGACGGCTGCCTATCTTCTAGACAGCCAAGAGCAGGTCTCAAGAGAGACTGTTTTCACACTGTTACTGAACTTAGCAAGCACTAAAAAGCTCTCAAGAAAACCCTTCTCCAGGAGATTCTCAAACTAGAAGTGTTGGGTACACTTAGCGGAACTTTCAGCGTAAAGCATGGACACTACCTGAAAATTTTGGATCAATTTTCATTCTTCCCTTTGATCTGTTTCCCCTGCTTTTACCTACCACTCTGATGCCACTTGATCACTTGTCTAGCAGAGAATTTCAACACGTCAGTATTGCTTTACTAGCTTCCAGTTGATTCTGTAAGTCATTCATACCAGACCCCTTCATTCAGTAATGTGAGAACAATAACTAAAACAGGAACGTATTGTTTGGGTTGTGATTCTTCTATAGGAAATGGAAATTGATACATATGGAAAGGTGCAAGAGGAGCCTAGAAATCACACACACGTACACAAAAAACAAACTAAAATTCACGCTTAAGACCAAGAAAGTATTCAACACATTCCAGGATATAAAAGCAACCCACGGGTAACACTGCCTGCATTGTGAGGGGATGTTTCAAGGGAACCTGCAGTCTTTTCAAAACCAGGATTATTTTTGGAGGGAAATCACAGCTCGATTAAGAAGACAAAAGAAAAGTTAGACCTGCAAGTCAGTCATTTCATGCACTATCACAGGGAAAAAAGCTGGAGTGATAAGTACATGAGCTACCTTTTTGTGACACCTTCTAGGAAAACCCAGCATTGTGGTACACGGCTGGCTGGGTCAGAGCACAACCCAGCTGTGTAAGGGATTAAGCAAGAG